GGCACTAGGCATGAACTGGTCACCGTGACCAATTCTCAGTGGTACCCCCTCACACCTCAACTTACCCCTGTGCCTGCCACCAACCCTGTTTCTTCCCTTTGAGTCCCCTGGGATAGCTCCAGGAGGAAACCAGGAACACTCGGAATGCTGACTTCCACTGCGGTGGACTTTGCTCTTAAAACCGGGCATACCTGCCCTAGCCAGTTTGGCTCAATGCATAGAATATTGGCCTGCAGACCGAAGGGTCCCTGGTTTGATTCTGGTCAAAGGCAGGTATCCTGGTTGCAGGCTCCTCTCACAACCGGGCCCTGGTATTTGTGCGTGCTGGAGGCAACCAATCTATGTGTTTATCTCACATTGATATTTCCCTCTGTTTTTCCCTCTCTCTTCCACTTTCTCTAAAAATCAATGGAAAAATATCCTAGGGTGAGGATTTTAAAAAGGGGGTGGCGGGCATAACTGATATTCAGCCAACTAGAAGGTAAAGCTATTTAGAGGGGAGGGGTGTAGATTTCCTGGAAAGCAGGATGGGGCACAGACTTCCACAAGCTTACAAAAAATAAACTTGAAAATGTTATAGGAAGCTATGAGACCTCTATAACTTTATAAGCAAAACCATTAACCAATTAATCCTTAGTTAACACTAATTAATCTTTAGGAAACACAACCACAAGACCTCGAGAGCTAGAAATTTTAAGGCTCAAGATTTTACCTTAAGTAACATATTTGAAATCTATCCTTAAATTAATTCTCTGAAACACATTCAACCCATCTTCACCAACTGAAAAACTTCGCATTGTCACACTTTCAAGATGACACATACTAGGGCTCAGAAGGAAAATAGCCATAGGTGAGCCTCTCTGCTCATTTCAAGGGCCAGGAGATGTCAGAAGAGACTACTTCTTCAGGAATGCAGACAAGGCTATGGTCAAATTCAGTCAGCACATCAAGTCACCCAGCTTTTATTATGGAGGTACTCTGTGCCAGCCATTGTAGCAAATGCAACTTAGAATCATAGACTGTTAAGACTGGCAAGGACCTAGGGGACAAAATTTCTGTTATGGAGCCCCTTACAATTTTATTGGAATATTAAGACTCACATATGGGTGGAAATTAGAAAACAATACTAAGTATAAATAAGCAGACACTGAGAGATGCTGTAAAAACTTAGGAGAATTGGGACTGGAGTCGGTCAGTAGAGATTTTAAAGAGAATATGGGATTTCAGGTGACCTATGAAAGTAACAAAGTAGAGAGGTAGGTAGGCCTTTCATTGAAGGATAGTTTGAACATGGGTAGAGTAATGATAGCAAGAAGTCTGGGAACCAACCCTGGAGAAGACATGGGCTTTCCTGAAAAAGAGAGCAGCCTTTTTTGCAGTGGGAGAAGTGGGGAAGGAGGAGTGGGGAGGCTGAAGGCTGGGTAGTGAACTTTTATTATTTTATTTTAATTATTTGGTGAGGAAGAAGTAGTGAGCTTTTAATGCAGGAATTTGAAATTGGTTCCATAAGGTCAATGGGAGCTACTATAGTTTCTTAAGTAGTAGACCACACTTCTTAAGCAGGCTTATGTTTAAAATAAAACAAACAAACAAACAAACAAACAAAACAAACAAAACACACAAAAACAGCACTTTAGAAAGATTAATCTGGAATCTGAGTGGTAGATGGATGGATTGTTAACGGGAGGATAATCAGATGATCTGGTCACCCAGGTAATAAGAGCCTATCATGAGAGAGATAGAAAGACTGGGGAAAATGGAAAACATAGGATTCAGTGTTAGGAAAGCAAAAAGGGGATTAACATTAGGAAAAAAACCATGTCTGACAAAATAAGTGTGGTGTCTTTTTTCCACTTTTAGAAATGTGGGGTCTCTGGGGCATGAAACCAATGTAGAATTAAGAAGTCAGGGAGCTGTTTTGTGGGAGTAGGTGATAAATCTGTTCTTAGCCATGCCTAGCGTGAGGTGAGACACTGGAAATTGAATTTGATTAGACCATTAATTCTGGCTACATACACACCTCTCTTAAGGTTGACCATCTATACCAGCGGTGGGCAAACTTTTTGACTCGAGGGCCACAATGGGTTCTTAAACTGGACTCAGAAGAAGGAGCTGCGGCTGGGTTTCCCGACGTTGCCATGTTAACACTGCTGTTGGTGAAGGAGCGGAGGGGAGAGCAAGAGAACCCTCCGCTCTTTCGGCTCCAAGGCCGGATAGAACAGCCAAACAGGCCGGATCCAGCCCGTGGGCCGTAGTTTGCCCACAGCTGATCTATACTAATAAAAGGGTAATATACTAATTAGACCAGGAGACCTTCCAGACAAAGCCATGGTGGTGGGGTCAAGGCAGAAGTGGTTAGGGGCGATCAGGCCAGCAGGGGAAGGCAGTTCGGGACGGCTATGCTGGCAGGAGAGGGCAGTTAGGGACATCCAGGCCAGCAGGTGAGAGCAGTTGGAAGCAACCAGGAAAGAGGGGTAGGGCATTTAGGGGTGACCAGGCTGGCAGGGGAGGGCAGTTAGGGACATCCAGGCCAGCAGAGGAGGACATTTGGGAACAACCTGGCAAGAAGAGGAGGGTAGTTAGGGGTGACCAGGTTGGTAGGGGAGGGCAGTTAGGGGCCACTAAGGCAGCAGGGGAAGGCATTTAGGGGAGGCCACGCTAGCTGGTGAGGGCAGCAATGGTTGCCCAGGCCAGCAAGGGAGGGAGGTTAGGGGCAACCAGGCTGGCAGGGGAGGGCAATGAGGGTTGACCAGGCTGGCAGAGGAGGGAGGTTAAGGGTGACCAGGAAGGCAGGGAGGTCAGTGAGGGACAATCAGGCAGGCAGGCAGAGAGGTTGGGGGCGATCTGGCAGGCAGGGGAGCAGTTACACTTGATCAGGCAAGAAGGCAGGCAAGCGATTAGGAGCCAGCAGTCCCAGATTGCAAACTCTGACTCTCTGAGGGAGGGTCCCAGGGCCTTGTCTGACAATCCTTTGAACTTCACTCCTACTCTCACAAGGAGAGGCTGAGCTCTTCAGGGCGAGGCTCCACTCTTTGGACAAGACTCAGTTCTCCAAGGATCTGAGCCAGGGCTGGGCAAACTTTTTGACTCGAGGGCCACAATGGGTCCTTAAACTGGACTCAGAAGAAGGAGCTGCGGCGTGTTTCCCGACGTTGCCATGTTAACACTGCTGTTGGTGAAGGAGCGGAGGGGAGAGCAAGAGAACCCTCCGCTCTTTCGGCTCCAAGGCCGGATAGAACAGCCAAACAGGCCGGATCCAGCCCGTGGGCCGTAGTTTGCCCACAGCTGATCTATACTAATAAAAGGGTAATATACTAATTAGACCAGGAGACCTTCCAGACAAAGCCATGGTGGTGGGGCCAAGGCAGAAGTGGTTAGGGGCGATCAGGCCAGGTGGGAGGGCAGCTGGGGGTGATCAAGCCAGCAGTGGGGGGCAGCTGGGGCAAACAGCCTGGCAGTTGGGGGCCATGAGGCCAGCAGGGGAGGAGCAATTGGGGGTGAACAGGCTGGCAGGGGAGCCGTGGGGGCAAGAAGGACAAAGGGGAGGGCAGTTAGGGGTGAGCAGGCTGGCAGGGGGGAGGAGTTGGGGGTGATAAGGCCAGCAGGGGGGGAAGTTGGCGGTGAGCAGGCCAGCAGGGAGGGACAGTTTTGGGCAAGCAGGCCTGTGGGGAGGGCAGTTTAAGGCAAGCAGGCTGGCAGGCAGAGTGGTTAGGGGCAATCGGGCAGGTAGGCAGGTGAGTGGTTAGGAGCCAGTGGTCCCGGATTGCGAGAGGGATGTCTGACTGCTGGTTTAGGCCCGATCCTGTGTCAGACATCCCCCGAGGGTTCCCAGATTGGAGAGGGTGCAGGCAGGGCTGAGGGACATATAACCCCATGCACATATTTTGTGCACCGGGCCACTAGTGTTTAATATAAAGTCAACAAATACACAAAGCTGAGATTTTTACTATATTATTCTAGCTCCACAAAAGCATTTCTTTTGTTGTTTTCTAGGATTGAAATAAACTGTCACCTTGATGTTTTCAAGAACACTGAAGCTGTGTTCAGGCCTCAGATTTTTCAGGCCAAAATCAAAGGCCAGCAATTGGCCAGAGAAGGAGAAGCAGAACCTTCAGGCTTGTTTGATTTGAACTTTCTGAATGTCCAATCCTCAGCATTTCAGAGTGTCACTGGTTCTGACCATGTGTAACCTCTGCTTAGGAGTATGATTCCAAAGGATTGGCATGTTTTGTCCAGCTTCTGAAATCAGATGTTGACATTGGCACTCTACATTTTAGTTAAAAATATCAAATATTAATTAGCATCCCCAAAGGATGTGCCAATTTTAGCTTTTAACTCTAAAAATATGTTTACATGTTCCCAAAATATTTTTTAAAAGTCTGCTTTTCTCCCATTCATTCACATTTCATTCATCAGAATGAGGTCAACAGGGCTAGAAAGACAAGGGATCAAGTATTATGATTGGTTTGTAAATAGTTGAAAATCTTTATTTGTTATTTGGTTGGTTGATTTTAACCTTTATGATAGAGCCTTGAGCCTATAAAAAATGGAAGTGGGATCTGAACATGGCAAAATGTGTTTGCTTTTCTCAGATAAATCTGTTAGTCTGCATGTGCTGTAAAATGGCATTTTCCTCCATTGAAAATTCCACTTCCTATGCAACATATGCCATTCTGCCTTCCTCACAGACTTCCCCAAATAAAGTTCAAAATCCCTCTTGCATTTGTAGTCAATCTAGCCCCCCGTTTGGGGTCAACTGAACAGTGCCCCAAGAGAAGTCTTTTCAAAAAAGCATTTAACCATTAGCCAGTACAAAAATGTAGCTCTGGGTGACTTCTAAATTGAGTTTCTCAAAGCAAACTGTTAGGTAAAAGAGAAAGCCAAAACTCAAAAGCAATGAAGAAGGAAGAGAAATAATGGAATTTTGTATTTAATAAAATTTAAAGGTGATATACTTTACTATAGATAGATTGCTCCTTGAAACGGTCATATAGACTTACCAGGTTAAGGAGTGTCAAGTATTTCCACTGTCCACCATTTTGAAAGATTTTGGACATCTGCGTATCCCTTCCTTTTTGTGAGATGTGATAATTGAGAAAAATATACCAGCTCAAAACAAGGAAGTGGTATACGCATGCAGAAGTCCTCGTCATGGCTCACTCTGGCCGGGAAGCTGTGAACGTCTGAAGTGGCTTTCGTCTGGCGTCTTGTGTTGGGTAAGAGCTGAAGTCCTCCAGCAGGCGGGGAGCTGTAAAACACACCCCTCCGGGTGAGAGTTCCAACAAGGTTGAATTTTGCCTCCCTCATAAGCTCCTTCCTGATAAACTTTGTGACAGGATTATTGTTTATTTTCAGATGTCCCGGTTAGATAACAGGTAGTGTGCAGATTTGCATACAGGCAAGGATCAATTCAAGAGCTGCACTTTGCTCTAACAGGCTGAGCTGGGGCGTGGTTAAGTGACCTTATTGAGAATTACCACTAAACTGATGAAATCCTGTCATGGTTGCATTCTCTCTTCTTTGCTTTTCATTTGAGCAGAACAAGGAAGTTGCAATAATATCTTTTGAGAGAATGAGGGGTAGGTTGGTAAATCAGCAGGGAGAGATTGTGGGCATGTCTAGGACATGGAGGGAGGTAAGTAAAAAGGGAAAAGGTATTGTAATCTTGCTGCTGAGGTCTCTGAGGCCCCATGAAATCTGAAACAACACTTGGACCTCCAGAGAGCAGTTCTAAGGATTTTTTGTTTTTGTTTTTTTAATTTTGTATCTACTCCCTGGAGAGCCGAGGGTTACCCAAGGCTGCCCCGGACACTTTTATTTGCATAGGTTTTTCTGTACCCTGGGAGGACAGAAGCATAGCAAGTCATCTGTGGCTAAAGAAGCATAAATAAGCCGAAGTGTGTGGCCATGACCCCATCATACCTGAGTTTAGACATTTCCTTGGGGAGAACGAGAATATGCTCAGGCTGGGCAGTTTGAGGAACTGAATCCTGCCTCGAGCTGGACAGAAGGGACCTCAGAGAGAGCTGAAAGTGTCATACCTTGTGCCATCATCAGCTTGTTTCCCTGAGCAACTCACTAAGAGGGTTCTGAGCAAATCCCTCAGGGAACTGCTCTCAACGTAGTTGTGTAAGTATGTAGTTGGCGCTGTTCAATAATTTAACCAGGGTTTACAAGTACTGGGAGAAAGAGCTTCAGGCATGCCCTAACTGGTTTGGCTCAGTGGATAGAGTGTCAGCCTGCAGACTGAAGGTCCCAGGTTTGATTCTGGTCAAGGGCACATATTAGAGTTGTGGGCTCAATCCCCAGTAGGGGGTGTGCAGGAAGCAGCCAATCAATGATTGTCTCTCATCATTGGTGTTTCTATCTCTCTCTTCCTCTCTGAAATCAATAAAAAAATATATATTTTTTAAAAGGAACTTCAGGCTGTACACGTAGGACTAAACCAAACAAAGCTACCATCCAAGAGTCAGTCATAGGATCCCAAATCTTAGACACTGCATATGGGTATAGAGCAAATCTGAACTAGCAATAAAGGGTCTGCACTGTAAACATTCCCGAAGAGGTGATCTGGGCAATGGGTGACATAAAACTGTACACAATTCCATGACCTAGGTTAAGATTACAAATAACAATGATGACCAGGAGGTGTTTTCCCTAGGTCGTGTCTCTCAACACCAAAGAATGAGCTTCGAGGACCAGAAGATTTAAGCAAAGTGTGGAAAATTTATTACAAGCAGATTCAGACTCCCTGCAAGGGGAGGGGGACCCAAGAATGGGCTGCTCGTTAAAGCCTTGTAGTCCAGGGGTATATATTTGCTACAAGCCTGTTCTATGGCTACCTGTGTCATCGCCTGATTGAATCCCTCCATTGTTTTTGCCCAGCAGTGGACCTAAACTTTCCCTGTTTCTATGTGTTGTTAGTATGTTCCTATCCTGAACTTTTTCTGTTTCTATGTGTTTGTATGTCTTGTTTACTGCAGGCCCTCTCTTGGTTTCCCATGCCTCCCGCTTTGAGTCCAGAAGCATTTTATTTCTGCTTGGTTGGTTCCTGTGGTTAGGCTGGTTCAAACTGCCGTGTCTGCTGCCCCTGCCTGTGTTCCACCCGTCTTTGTTTTCTACTGCACCCCTGCCCTATCTGCCTGCATTTCAAGTTAACCTTCTCAACAATAGCATCTAATAATTTTCCAGTACTTAATACATGACAGGCATTGTTCCAAGTGCTTTACGCACACATTAATTCATTTACCCTCTAAACACAACTATGAATTAAGTACTATTATTGTTATCAGTGAGACAAGGAACCCTCAGTTCCTGACTTCTTGAGGGAAATATTTCAATCAAGAGACAAAGTGTAGAAAAGCAAGCAAGAATTTATTGACTGCAGCAAAAATGTACTTAGGACAGTGAAACAAAGAAGGGCATAGAAGCAAGAGGAGAGCTTAGGCTGGGCTGCCTTACCTCACTGGGAAGTCAGAGAATAGGGTGCCTTGGAGACAGGTCAGGGGGTTAGTCTGGGACCAGATGCTGCTGCCCATTGCTCCCCTGGTTGCAAGTCTCATGGGGTTCCTTAGAGGCTGGGGATGCATGCCATGAGGAAAGGACAGAAGGAAGGGGATGGAATGGGAGTGCTCCCAAAAGAAGAGCGAGAGAACACCTTGGGACCTTCATTTGCAGGGGTGTTAAAGATTGGGTGTTTAGGGCAGATCTTAGTGGTGAATCAATAGAATATTCATCAGCTTTATGCTGATGTACCAAAATGAGATTTATTTTCTTAATTTATCTGTTCTTGGGTGTGGTGGGCAAATGGCACCTAATTGAATTTGTGTTATTTGTCTCTCTGTGTGTTTAGCTATTTACTCTCTGGTTGGGGAGGAGAAATGCAAACCATTTACTCTCAAGTGCCCTTGGTTTAGGGAAGATAGGATTTACTAGGTCCGTGGTCGGCAAACTGCGGCTCTCGAGCCACATGCGGCTCTTTGGCCCCTTGAGTGTGGCTCTTCCTAAACCTTATGAGTACCATAATTAAATTAATAACAATGTACCTACCTATATAGTTTAAGTTTAAAACATTTGGCTCTCAAAAGAAATTTCAATCGTACTGTTGATATTTGGCTCAGTTGACTAATGAGTTTGCCGACCACTGTACTAGGTGACTACAAAATGTTGTTTAACTCTGTCTTAGTTTCCCTATTCTGCTTGTCCTGCAATTTTCCTAGTTTCTTACTATTCTAGAACAATTATGATCCTCATTTTCAGATGAGGAACTTGAAGCCCAGGCGCTAAAATAGAGCATGCAGAAACTTCAGAGGCAGAGCTGCAATCTGCGCTTTAATGGGAGTTTGACCCTAAAGAAACAAGGTTTGCTCTGCACACCCTCAGGTTCCCTTTGCACTTATCCACTCTCTGCTTACCCCTTAAATTCTCTTCCTTTCCCACCAGAAAATTCTCGGAAACATGTTTTGTAACTTGGTGCACATATGAATTGTTGTGCTACGTCTCCCAGGGCATTATCATGGTAAATACTACTGTAGCTGTAGGGATTTTACTCCTTCATGCAAACATCTCAAGTATAAGTCTGCAGATGGGTAAGGATTTGAGGCACAAGTAGGAAAAGAGGAAAAGACCCAAATCTCTGAAATGTGTCTGTTCAAACCTGGAGACTGACCTTTTAACATCTGGACTTTTGTCCCTGCATTAGCCTCAGTGCCCACAGATGAGGCCTTTCATAAATATTGATAAAATTATTTAAATGTATTTGTAAGAAGTTTGGCATTTAACATTGAAATTCAATTTTTAGCATTTTAATAAATGATGTAACATAATATAAACAGTCATACACTGCTTAACAATGGAATACATTCTGAAAAATGTGCTATTAGGCAATTTCGTTGTTGTGCAAACATCGGAGTGGACTTAACGCAAATCTAGATGATATAGCCTACTACACACCGAGGCTTTACAGTATAGCCTATTTCTCTGTAAGGGAGGAAAAATAATTTTCCCTTCTGGGTTCTTGGTTAAGTTATCCTTGAAATAAAACACAGGTTAACAGGAGAAAAAAACAAAAAGTCTAATAGCACGTATAACATAATATTTATGTCCTGTAAACATGGAGAGACCCAGGAAAACTGAGTAACTTGCCAAAATGGCTAAAGCCAACACCTTAAATAATATCTCCAGCTGAAGACAAAAGATGCTGGGGGCGTAGGGAGTCAGTGAAGGGAGGTTACCAGGAAAAGCACAGCAAGCAAGGGTAAGGTTGTTACGAAGATTTAACTGGGAGTTGTCTTCTGCTTTGGTAAGAGTTTCTAGAGATAAGGTAGTTCCTCTCTTATCTTACAAAGGGTAACCTCTATTCCATTTTCAGTTTCTCCCATGTCTGCTCTTTTTTTAAATTAACCAGCCTAAAATAATCTTTATGCCAAAGACATATTTTGGGATGATGAATTCTGTTCCCTTGCATCTCCTAAGATCCAAACCTGTACTGCGTGTTACTATACTGAATACTATAGGCAATTTGTATATTGCATTACGGTGTGACTTTACGGTGTGCATTATGGCCATGACATTACTAGGTAATGGGAAATTTTTCAGCTCCATTTTAATCCTATGGGACCACCATTGTATGTGTAGTCTGCTGTTGACTGTATGAACAAAAAGAGGTCTACGTAATAAATCAGAGAAGCTCAGCAGTGGCCAAAAGTAACTTCACAGGGTGATCTGATTATAAATTCCTTCTTGGGCAGGTCATGGTTGACTATAACTTCCTTAGTAAGAGTTTTACTTTTGCCTTAAGCAGCCTGTCCATTGTTTTGTGCATCTAGGTTAACACACCTTTGAAATGTCAGAATAATCCTCTGGATTATTTTAGACCCCTGGAGGTTTAACCAGACTGAAGGGAGCACATGAACTTGTTGCCTGTAAACATTCCTATTTACTGTGTTAAATATACTATACCCTCCAATGTAAAAGAAGTATGTGAAAAGAAAAATGGGGGGAAGGGGGGAAGACTTGCAACCTAGTTCAGTATCTAGTTAAAACTGTAGTCTTACCTGCCCACTCTGACTGACGTGGGTGGAGCTGCAGAGCCTAACCCCAAGGCCCCGCCAAAACTGACTTGGGCAGAGCTGCGGGGCCCCTCAGGGGCCCACCACAGGAGGGGGTATATAGGTCAGAGCCTCCCCACGAGTTCAGTTCAGGCTTTGGATCCGGAACTCCCCTGGACTAACAGATCTGCAAAATAAA